CAAAACAAAATTGCAATGGACAAGATTAAAGAAAATGCTTTGTGCAACGATGAAGTAGGAAATGGTTTCCTAAGTCAACGASTTTCGCAATACCACGCCTCCTCAAAATCAGCCAATGTCAATACCCTAGTCGTTACAGGACAAGACATGCATTCATCTTATCTCGTACTCTCTATTCTAAATCGTTCCAGAAAAAGTTCGAAGGAAAATCAACAAGCATTGCAATTACCACAGTACTTAGGGGCTCGGTGCTCCGATACTGTAGTCATAATTGTTTTATTATTCTTATCAAAATTGAAGGCGAATTCTGTAAGGATAAAGTGATGAGTCTTGAAAGTTCACTATATTTTGGGGACATTAGAGACTTGTCATAATCGACCTTGAAAGYTAAATATCTTCAAACGTGCAAGGACACGTTACATTATACAAAACAATGTAATGTCAAATACTGCTTGCTTAAATATCACAACATCGCCATACATAGGTTTATCGACATCACCTCAAAAGTAAGTTCCCATAGAGACAATCGTTCGTGAATTTTAGTTGTTTATGGGGCTGAGTCCTGGGTGATTCTGATTAAAATGTACATTCTAAACGAACAGCCCAAAAATGCGGTGGCAATGCCCTTCAGGGTTACTATCATGGAAAGGTAAAAATTCATGATAATGTATGATAATGTAAGCAGTAAGTACTGATTACGAGATTCGGTTGCCATAATAATTATGTACCATTAGAGCATCCGCCACCATACTGAGCAAACTTGCAGCAAGAAATGTTTGGTATCTTGGACAGGAAATACCAGCAGGCATGCATATCATATGCGTAAAAAATACAAAAAATATAATCATCCGATCTTAGCGATCAAGGAATCTAATAAGGGAGTGCATGATTTAAGCAATTTTAATGAAGACGAAATTGTTCTATTTTACCATAGTTAACTATGATTTTGCTTATATATGAACCTATTTCAAAAAACGTCAAATAGAAAATAAAACATTTGTACTTAAATAGAAAGGAATACATTAAATAAGACAAACAAAAGAGTTGGACATGCAGAGTGATCTTCCTGTCCTTTTTATAACATAAATGCCTCTTTACAAATCTACTATTTGAGATATTTTCTCTGACAACATTTTTGGATTTATTAATATACCAACAATCAATAAATTGTATAATTAACGTAATAAGAAAGTAAAGTGAAGAATATGGAACTAAAAAATAGATGTTTTACCTTAATGGCCGCCATATGTCTCATTAACAAATTTACAAAGAAATGTAGCCATACCCCCATGTGCATTTCCTTTGATTAAAATAATCTACATCCTATGGATTTTCAATGAAAACTAATGATCTTTTTGTAGAGCTTCAAGTTAAGTTTTTCTCTAAAGTGTTTCATGTTTAAATTTGCTTTGGGTTGAGAAGAATAATCTTGGAATGAGTGGCGTTCATTTTGGCAAACGATCTATTGCTGTCCCAGCCCTGACAAGGCACGCACTCCTCTCTTCTAAATCAAGTACGTCAATTCTTGCCTTGAAATGTACGGCTATAATAGCCTATGTGTAGTAAACAATATATAAATGTGCAATAGTGTTCCTTGTATTATAGTTTATAATCTGAAACATGACTTTTTCTAATCAAAGCATCCTTGATATTGCTAATAATTCAGTTAAGTTAAGAAGTACAGATTTCAGAAGCTCCATTATTGCATCATTACCTCAGTCACTTTAGTGCAGTCCTAGTTGTACTTCAGTAACCTCTCAACAGCATTTTAATAATACAGTTTTCTTTTTCGCAAACTGCTGCACACTCTGCATTTCTGTTCATTATGACGAAGCTGATATTCACTGAATTCATCCTGCGGAAACAAACGCTTGCATCCATTGCATAACGTATCCGCAGTCAAATTGTCTTCCCCATCTTCACTAGGAATCACATCCAAAGGGAGGAAGCCGTTGCCTTCGTATTGATCAAAACTGCGAACGGCTTTACCTCGAAAGAGATCGGTGTAACGCTCTGAGGCAAGTCTCAGTCGAGAGAGCTCTTCCCCATTGGCACTTTTGAGTTTGTTGTACAGCTTGAACAACTCTAGGGTATCAACTGCACAATAGCGAAGCAATACGTCTGAAATAGGTCTTCGCTTCCACAGATTGCGATCGCTTTGCAACAAAATCCTTCCTTTGTCTTTGGTATTAATTGCACGAGTGTCTTTGGTATACAACTCCAAACAATAATTGAATCCACGGATTTTCTCTACTTCGCTGCCTCTATCGCTTCGACGTACTTCACTGCCTCTACCGCTTCGACGTGATAGCTGAAACTTCAAACTGGATCCTCCGTATTCCTCACGTCTCTTCATCACTTCGAGAAGCTGAACGTCCAAAACTCCAGTCAATTTGACTTGATACTGATGCCAAAGACTGTCTGAATCTTGTCTGCAATCAAACATCAACTTTTCTCTTGACTTGTCTTCTAAGATTTCACGAAGACCTTCGTCAAACAGTACTTTCTTAAGTTTTACAACATCGAATATGTAGGCTTTCTCCTCTGTGGCCACGGTGACAATCGTAAGCTCTCCTTCTCTACTCAATTTAACACCCTCACAGTCCACGGCTAGTAAGTTAGCCTTTGACTTGAAGCTTTTTAGCTCTCGCAATGATTCCTGAAGGCCATCTGCATTGTCAACAAGTATGTAGTTTTTTGAATAGCCACAAGCCATGTTTAGGCTACCAAAACTAGATTGAAACGAAATTATCGAAGAGAATTATAGGACAAATATCATTCACATCGACAAAGGTTTGCTGGTATGGCAAAACCACAATGCTTCATGGAACTTTAACAATACCACGCTTCCGAGAAATACAGCAAATGTCATGTAAGTTGTCGTGACAAAACACATAACCATCCATTCATGTTCTTCTTATCGTTGAAAAAAAGCTAAATTCTGGTTGAATTCTTATGCAAACTCGGTGTTCCGATTCATTATAGTTACATCGTCTTCATTATTAATAAATTCAAGAGTGAATTCTGTATGTATCACCTGATGTGTCTATTTCAATATGTAGTGGTTAGGGGTTTCATTCATGATATTCGCTGTAGTGAAGCATCATTGCGCTTCGCTTCGTTGCATAAATTATCGATTGCCCTAATGTTGAAGTTAAAGACTGTGTGAATATTATTGCTTGACGGAGGTTATTTCTGATTGAAGTTCGCATTAAGTTTATACAGTTTATAGTACACAATTTATTTACTAATTCCAATTTTTCGACCAAACAAAAATGCTAAAGAACTTTTCTTGCATAAATAATCATTCGCCGAAATGTTTTGAAAACTAAGAAATTCTCAGAACCATCTAGACTTCTATTAATTTACATTTAGACAATGGCATGCATGACGAGAGTACGTTATACAGCTCAAATAGATATTACACTAATACACGTTAGATTAATCGCACTTAAACCGCGCGCAACTGTACAAACTAAATAGTAATATCTAATTGTATTTAGAAAATCGTGCATGTGGTACGCAAAATAAATTTAATTGATATCCAAAAAGGTTTTGGATTGAGATATGTACATATACACATATATATTGAGATTCATAATATAGTTAATGACATGCAGAAGTATGTCTAAATAAAATGTCAAGGCAACCCAAACTCCACGAAAGACTTCTAAATACGTTTGACATTTATCTATATTCCTGTAAAACTGACAGACATGTTAAAAAAACGTTTTGTACTATGGCAACTGTGCTTTTCTCTATATTCAAAATCATTTTGGAATCTCATCGGTTAGGCGCTGTTTCAGCTGCTCCTATTGTCTTGATAGTACTTTGTCATAAATTTAGATAGATGAAGACTCTAAATGTACCTCTAATGTACCCCATTCAGTATTTTATGAATCTTATCATATATGTTTATAAGTACATATCTCAATCCACAATATTTTTGCAATTGACCGTGTACAATAGCTTATATAGGAGCTCCATTATTTCATTATCGCCACAGTTTGTTCAGTAATTAAATTCAACACAAATCAGCACATTTCTTCTTTAAATTTTGTTCGGTTTTCTTATTCAACGAACTCTTGTGCACACTCGACATTTCTGTCCACCATAACGAAGCTGAAATTCACCGAATTCATTCCGCGGAAACAAACGCCTGCATCCACTGCAAGACGTATCGGCAAAGCCAGTATCCCCTCCGCCAATAACACCCAATGGAAGGAAGCCATTGTTCTCGTAACGATCAAAGCTTCGAACGGCCTTACTTCGAAAGAGCTCGATGTAACGATCTGATGCAAGTCTCAATCGAGACAGATCTTCACCACGGAAGCCCTTGAGGTTTCTGTACAGTTTGAACAATTCCAGGGTGTCAACTGCACAGTATCGAAGCAGTACGTCTGAAAGAGGTCTCCGTTTCCACAGATTGCGATCTCTTTGTAAGAGCATTCTACCTTCGTTTTTGGTATTGACTGCAAGCCCGCCACTTGTGTAAAGCTCTAGGCAATGTTTGAATCCACGGATTTTCACCACTCCGTGGTTTCCTCCATACCCCCCAAACCTTTTCATCACTTCAAGAAGCTGGACGTCCAGCACTCCAGTCAACTTGACTTGATACTGATGCCACAGACTGTCTGAATCATTTCTGCAATCAAACATCAACTTTTCTCTTGTCTTGTCCTCCAAGATTTCACGAAGGCCTTTATCAAACACTGCTTTCTTGAGTTTTACAACATCGAATATGAAGGCTTTGTTTTCAGTGGCAACGGCGACAATCGTAAGCTCTCCTATTCTGGTCAAATCGACCCCTTCGCAATCCACTGCTAGAAGCGCTTTCGGTTCCAAGCTCTTTAGCTCTCGCAGCGATTGATCAAGTTTAACCTCACTGTCAACGAGTACGTAGTTTAGTGAAGATCCAGAAGCCATAGTTTTAATCAACCAAACAAGTTTGCAACAGTCTATAACTTTGTCAAAAGATTTTTTGTGATGACGAAGTCGGGAGTCGGTGCTTTTGTAAGCAAATATGCTTCATAAGCGAATTTCTCAATACCAGCTGTCCGTGAAATACCGCGCAGTTCATAGAGATTGTTGTTACGAAACAAAAGTATAAATGCATTCTGGATGTTCTCCTCTCTTTAATCATTAAAGGAAAATCCAAACCCAAATTTTATAGCAATAATATTAATAGCGATTTTGTACATCAATAATCTAGGGTAAATAGTCTTTTTGTCAAAATTTAACATTATAAATGATGAAGTTATTCTGTAGGAAGTTAAGTTGGGGTGGTTAAAAACATCATTGATGATAGCCGCTGTAGTGAAGCATCATTACACTTCACACATGACTTATAGTGACCATGGCAACACATGACAGTGTTGAGCACACGACTTTTGAGCATGAACAGCATTTTTTGAAGAGAAGTATGAATGACAAATTCTAATGAAACTTTACATTAAGTTTATATACATTGCTAGTATATGGTGGATGGTTTATAGTATAAAATTTATTAACGGTAAAAACATGCTAAAGAAGTGTGCTTGTATAATCATTCTCAGGAATGTTTTGTAAACTAAGTAATAGCTTCAATTCTCGGAACCATCTAGACCTCTTTAATGTACATGCATGAATAATGAAACTACCTCATACAGTGAAAAAAAAAACACAGTCAGATTTGAGATCAACCGGTTGGATGAAAAAACATAACACTACGAAAAGACTGTGCTTCAAATTAAATCATACTAGATTCTTCCAAAAACGCATCACTCCATATCGTTAGAAGCGAACAGTGAGCAAATCTAAAAAACGTCATGCTATTAGATGGATAGATGAATGGTGACCAACTTACATGTCAGGAAATTACAAATAATCAACCAGCGAGTATACATCTAATCTTATCTTAGGACAATGGATACATAATTTGCGTTTAGTCTTTACAAAATGTTCATTGACGGCCACGCGTTGTCAAGGAAACGTGACGTCACACGAAAAACCTCTATAATGCGCAGAGTTCCATATTCGAAATGAAAGTTTTTCAATGAATCTGAGTATTTTAACATGATTTTCTACTTATGTCCAGAGTTAAAACAGTAAGGTACAAGGACAAAGCTTCCATAATGTAATTATTACCACAACTGATTCATTGTATTCAAATGATTCTTCTTCTCTCTGACGACGAAGCCACTGTTGTTCTCTGTGAGAATAGACTTCTGAAGCTTTTACGTCACGTACCGTATACACAATGCATTATAGGATATGTTTGGGACAGAACACGGCGGATTTCTTTTGTTTTCTCTTGATTTTGCATTGAAAATCAAGTAGTGACGTAAAAGGTATATTCGTGTCGAGACGACGTTCAATCTTTTTACAAACTCGGCACTTTTGATCAAGGTTGTTTACTTTTGCAAAACAAAGGCTCGTTATTGGTCCATTGCAGGTGATGTAATAATACCACGTGATCGACTCATCGACATGTGATTTCCAAGAATCTCGATGCACAGGTAGCCCAAGTTGAACAAAATTAATCGAAATGTGTCTCTGCCCTCTTCTTCTTCCTCCATAACTTCCCGCGGAATACAGGGATTATGTCATCGGATAAAGCTTGACTATTCTAACTATTCATAACTCTCTAGCACATTGGCAGAGCAGTGCTACACGTGACAACTGACGAAATTTGATAAAACAACAAGAATCTGGAATCCAAATTATTGACTTGAAAGGGTTTTCTGATTATAAACGAGTCAATGACTACAAAAAAAAAAAACTAGGATGCTTTGCACTCGGAATCCAATATGGTGGAATCCAATACTCATGGAATCCGGAATCAAGGACTTGGAATTCAAAATCCATGGCGTGACATGTGATGGCGCTATGTGAGCGTGCCCATATCAGCAGTACTGTATAAATTTAGTGGTATGGTATGATATATGTCATTAAATATGTAAGATATGAAATTACTAATTAAGACGAGGAACCCGTCAAGTACCGTATGCATGTGATGTAATCTTACTTACAGAAAGTCTCTTTGCCGACTCGTACTTTTATCATAAACCACTCAATTCCAGCCCCAAGGCAGAAAAATACCGGTAAATATTTATACAAGCCAAGTCTCTTCTTTAAACCATGCCAACTTGCTGAAACCATGTAGAAAATCAGCAAGTTTCGAGCAGAAAAGCTTTAGATTTCAAGTTTAGCTGAGCAAAAAGTCTTGTGTGAAAAGCCGCTGGTCAGCAAGACAGTATAAAAATGAGAAAATTATCTTAGCGAGGGAGGCTAGGGAAGGCATCTAAGAAATATTAGTTTATCTGAAGCTAATTATCAATTTCATAAACAAATAACTTCCAAAACTGTTCCTGCTATTTTTAAAGGAGTGAATGCTAATTTACAATTAAAATGTAAACGAAAAAATGGTTTGGATTAGTTTAAATTTTCATCATTCGTACCCTCCCCCGAGAATTATTTGTTGTCAAACCCAGTCTCACTCAACCAGTGCTTGAAAGAAATCAGGATCAAAATGAGCAGAAAGACAAAAAGTGATCGTTTTAGTCCATATTTGTAAGCTTTATTTTCCTACAAACTTTATAATGGCTCACTTCATGAAAGATTCAAGCGAAATTAWCCTTTATTTCCTTTATTTTTGAAATATTTGTAGCGATTCCCGATCAGGAAAGTGTCATGATGCTCAACAGCTGCAGGACGAGCAGGATTCACAAACTTCAAAGTTGGGAAGCAAATCWCCCAGGAAAAGAGCTAGAAAGTATGGTGATATGACAGAGGATGAAGTCATGAAATTACTACTGCCTGATAGAGTGGATCAAAACTTAGATATCCTTTTTGTAAGTGCAACATTTCTTTTGTTAAGCTTGAACAGTTTCATGTGTAACTTCCTTTTATTAAGTTATTTTCCTTTTATTTTCATTCAGTTTTTATTTAAATCTCTCAAGATGTTTTTGTATTTCTATTTACAACTTAGGGAAAGACACGCATTAGGCTGTGTCTCTCGAGATGATATATTTTCTTATGTATTTCCTTTTATTTTCTTTATTAGATAGGTATAAATCCAGGTCTTACTTCAGCATATAAAGGACATCACTATGCTGGGCCAAATAAT